TGTCCATGTTTGTCTTCCAGACCTCTCGAAAGACACTCCTCGCACGACTTACAGAGTTGTATGACGTGACTAGCAAAAAGAAGAAAGAAAAATCAATAAGAACAAGCAAGACGGAAAATTTAGCTGAGGCTATCAAACATGCTGATGAGGAGGTCCGCAGATTGGAATACTGGAGCGATATCAAAGGAATGGCTGAGAACGGTGAGACTGTTGGCGCTGTGGATCACAAGCAGGGCTGGGATTCGTGTTGGCAGGGACTCGACAATAGTGGTGCCAAGGGCATCAATAACGACGAAATTCCGTGATAACGACCTCGTTGTTTTGAACGGGCTATGCGAGAGGTACAGAGGCAAGGGTTTAATTTTTAGTTCTTTTTTTTCTTTTCGGATACCCTTACAAAGGATTATAGATGCATATAGGTATGTGGCATTCCATGTTATTGCGAAAAACCGCGGGACTTGGCTACGGCACCTAATCTCACGTTATCTATCAATAATCTTGGTCCAACCACACCCTCGGTTGATGTGTAAAGTGCGCGAGTGTACTATTGGTATGCTATTTATGGATTTAATGTCCCCTTGCATACCAATTATTCCCGCCCAAGAACCGTTACGCGGCACTTTACCGAAGACGATTGGGTCAAGAGCACTGTTGTGTCACCTACCACACGGGGTACGTTGAGTGGTGATAACGGGTTCAGCCGCAATCACTAAACCCGGCAAAACGCAGCCATAGGGTGCGCGGCTCCAGCTCCGCGTATATCTGAACGGCCCAGGTTCCCGTCTACACGATGGCGCGTTCTAGAAGGGGGCAGCTGAGCTGTACAGTGCTAGGTAAGCACATCAGATGGCTTTCGCTTTCCGTGGGGGTGGGAACCCTGCAAACGCAACCCTACGCCGTACACCAAGGATATATATGCAGTGAGGCAGGTCCTATGCCAACCTAGCCTACTTATTATCTAAGTCATCGGATTTTTCCCTTCCGCCTTCGCGAGGTCGCGTTGCATGGTAGCGAGCTCTATTCCGCTTACTTGCTTGAATCCCATGTCGAACACGTAGAAAGTTCAGCTCTTTGCGATCAGTGAAGGCGCTTTATATCGCGCCCTATCGTAACACTGGCGCTTCCCTATACGGTCTCGGCATTCCCTATCTATTGACCTCGATACTGGTTTTCCCTGCATAAAATATGAAGGGGGTCTACGACTTTGATATCTTTCTCTTTGGACTCAGGAGCTTCCAGTCCGGTTTCAAACGGCCTCGACAGTGGGAAGCAACTAGGTTGCGTATTTACGCTATCTATTGACAGAACCGCGGCGGGAAACATGTCCGCGATATTGGCACTAGTTCGCTGGGCCCATGACTGTTTTCCGCCTCGTACTTTGGATTTTGCCTCTTCAAGGTGATAATATGCACAGTTCCATTTTACTGCATGAACGACGATGCCGTGGGGGTTGGGAGACCCCTGAGCATTCTTGTTACGGATGTGTGTTGCCGGATCTTCCGTAGTCGTAGCCTTTAAACGACGTAGGATAGGTCCCGATCTGTTTCTATTCGGGGGTCGGTGATATATACATCGTTCCTTCTTCACTGGATCCTCTTGGTCGAGAACCGTCCATCAGGTCATATTTCATTCTTCTACTCTAGACCGGCATCATTATACCGAATACCTCGCGAGCTATTCTTGTCGAGCCTCCTTCAGTATTGCCAATCTTACCGACGATAAACATGGTGCCGCTAGTAAGGCCGAAAGTAGGAGACCGTGGATTATTTACCCTTAAACCGTCGTCTTCTACTGGTTTTGCCTCTTTTATTGGGAACGGACGGGCGAGTGGGAGCGGGAATAGGGCTGGAAGTCAAGATGGCAAAATCAAGGATCAGTGTATGGTCGTGAAGCCTTGGGCTGATCAACCGTGGCCGCTGATGGAGGTCCCGGCGAGGACACAGAATGTGAGTATTGCTTCTCTCGTAGAATTTTGGGATATTGGTTCTCTTCATATGCAAAGGATGGACTTGCTTGCTCCCCCCTTGACTTGATCCTCATTATATGGCTCTTTACCTTGTTTGGGATATTCATTCTTCCATACCTCAAGACCCAAAGCCAACATATGATCCTCGAAAATTCACAACGACAGCCAGGCAGATAGCTAACAGCGAGCCCCTAAGATCACACATCCGGCGCTACACATCGCCAACGAGATCTCACACATCCACAATGCCATGTTACGCGGGCTTAACTCGATATACCTCCAAGCACCACATGTGCGACGAGAACGGGATATAGCAGACCTTTTGTTCCTGACGCAGAGCTGGAGTACATGGCTCCTCGACCATCACCACCTCAAGGAAAACACCATGCTACCCAGTTTTGAAGCCACTTTGGGCATGCCAACAGGTACACTGACCTTACTCAGTCCATCGACCGCCTCTGGGATTGCAGAGAGAGGTATAACGACTAGGACAGTGAAGGGCAAAGAGAGGGACAGATGTATCAAAGAAGATGAAGAGGAGGAGGGGGAACAGGAAGAAAACGCGATATCTTTCCTCTTACACCGCGTCTACGCATACGCATCTGCCACGCACAAGGATCCGCAGGCGTACAACGCGACGACACTTCAGGGCCTCCTCGGTGCTCTGGCCGAGACCCTCGTGCCCCATCTCACGCGGCAAGTTGGGCTCCTTGTATCCATGCGGGAGATGTGTTTCGGCTCCGCTCCGGCCAGAGGGAATGCCAGTGCCAATACCACGCACAAAGAGCTGGAGAGAGACGAGGAGATCCCTGGTCCGCTGCCTATTCCCATGGTCAAGATCACGAAGACGATTTCTTCTTCTTCATCTACGTCGCCACCAATTTCTCCCTCCTCATCAACATTCTCGACACCCTCGGCCCCGACGCCTGTATCTTCAGCCTCGTCTCCTGCGCACTCCCCGCCCAGTGTATCGCTTTCTTTATTCCCGTCTACTGCCACGATGACATCGCGACCACTACCACGGCATGGCAAGACGAGCAGTAATAGCAGCAGCAACATTACTAACTCCACCTCCAACTCCAGTAAGGACAACACGAATGGCGACGGTAACGGGAAACGCACCCCCGATAGTAGCGGTAGTAGTGTTGGTGGTGTTAGTAGTTCTCCCGCAGCCAGAAGCATGTCGGTAATAGACAAAGACGCCAAAGCCCGCCTAGCGCAGGCCCGCGCCCTCCTTGAGGCCGACGACCGCGCCAACAAGCTGACGCAGATCCACGCCGCAGCCGACGCGCGCGCCGCGGCTGGGATGGATCCCTTCGTTATCCTGCCTATGATTGTGCGGCTACGCGATAGTACTACTACCACTCCTACCAGCACAATGACCCCTCCCTTCTCACCCTCCTCTTCTTCCTCAGTATCGCGCGTGCCGTCTTCCTCATCGTTGTCGTCCTCGAATGACTCTAGCAGAGGGGTGAGTATGGGGATGGGTATTAACGCGGGCGGAGTAGGAACAGGAACAGGGGCAGGGGATAAGGGCGAGTGGCCGAGAATGTCGGTGCCGGCTATCCATGCCGTCGCGGATAAGCTTTCGCCTCGACATGCGGGAGCTTGGAGATTTCTGCCGTGCGATGTCTGGGGACGGCCTAGGGAGTTGCCTTTCCTGGGGATGTGAAAGGGGTGTGCGGTGGTAATGTGGGAGGCGTGGAAGAGATAGTTCACGTGGTGGTCTGGTACAGTGATGAGTATATATATCTGTATTTTTAAGGTGGGAGTATAAGGGGATGAGTAAAAGCAGGGTTTTTAGAGCTTATGCTTGAGATATACGCAAGGCTGGGGATTAGGGGACGAATATAACGTAGTGGTAACTTCCCCTGGGTCTTTCTGCGGGACTCATAACACGTACTTCATAAGGCTTTGCTTCTAACAGATTCAGCAATGCGTACTAGGTAGGTAATTAGGTTAGGTACTAGAGCAGACTGCTGGCAAATCATCTTCATCGTCGTCAGAGTTAAGATCAGTTTGTGTTGGGTTGCCCAATTGAAGCCGAGCACAGCAGGAAGCCAAGCAGGAAATTTGCCTTTCGCTCAATAGACTGTTTTCTCGGACCGAATACCGAGAGAGTTCTTCCGACGAAGAGCACGAAGTTCCTTGGGAAGACGGTAGTGAAGATTCAGAGGGAGGTAAAATCATTAGAGATTTTTCTTTCGCTACTAGTGGCAAAGTGGAACTTGACTTACACGGCGAGCAAGACTAGGTGACGGATTGGTAGTCCCGCTCTGATGAGGACGGCGCCTCGCCTGGAGTGGCAGAGGTGAAGATATAGCAGTGATGGTCAAGGCTACGAGATAGCAGAGGAATAGCATAACAATAATACTAGGACTACCGAAGCCATACATGAGCGTATAGATATTTGATAAAACATATATAAGCATGCGCATACATTGATTTCGACCATATCAATATGTTCAGCCAGCTAGGTGAAGACTAGACCTTGAATAGTACATATCCATAACCCAGCGGCGTGAGTGAGACTTCAGCAAAGTAAATGAAATTCCTCGCGAGGATAATCACGTCGGCAGAGTAATGGCTTTTTCTAACATGGTTATTGTATCTGTTAAGACGGTCGTGGGAAATTAAGGGTATACGAGAAGATATTGCGAGTAGATGATGTTACAAAGCGTGTTATCACCTGGAGATGCTGGGGTAGACAGGTTCTTGAAATCGACAGACCCGCTGTTCGAAAACAATATAATCGCAAAAAAATCACGAGCCACTAAACACTAGGGGTCAAGGAAGTGAGTCGGTATCTCTATTTATCAATCTCTATTTTAGAGACAGTATCTTCGAGGGGAGTTACATAGGAAGGCTTCAGCTAGGTAATAACAGAATAGCATATATATGGACATAGACCAGGGACAAAAAAGAGAAGAAGAGTAAAATATGAAGGAAATGATAGAAGGATAGTAGAAAAAAAATCATGAAAAAATTATTTTCTGGGTTGCTACTCTCAGTTTATGAGAGGCATCAGGAATTGAGCCCGATGCGGGGGTCGAACCTGCGAATCACGTGATTAGCAGGTGACATGATGATTTGTATGCGGATGTGTTAACTTACCCGCAACCTTGAGATTAAGAGTCTCACGCTCTACCGATTGAGCTAACCGGGCGCTTGTTGGTGAAAGGCGGAGCTGCAAAGTGTGTTTATTACTCGACCAGGTGTGCGGGATCGGAATACTAGCGTGGGGTTCGGCGGATTTTGGAGAATTGTGTGCGGGGTGTTTATCACCGCCCGGCAGCTGGCAGCATAATGCCGACTCGTTAGCTACAATTGACTGTAACTGAAGGCTCCCCTATCAAATGCCCAGGTTTGTAAGTCTGTATAGCTACGTCAGTATATACATAGGTTTATCTGTATGCCCATTGGGTTCGTCAACATAGCTCGACTATGAAGCTCGACTATGGCTCAAATTAGCTTGCACGGTTGGATTGATCTAGGTAAGTATACTGCCTTGACTGACTGACTGGCTGGCGATTTACTGACTGACCATGTTCGGGCAATAGCCCTGATCTAATTGTACTAATAACATATTTACTTATACATAGTCGTAAATTCACCGACGACCCCCAATTGACGGACTTCTATATAGTAACGGACTGATCTTGACCTCGCTATACGGAAATAGTAGCCTTGACGTAGCCGACTAACTGACTGGCATCTAGGTAATTGAGACTTGGTGGACTGTATTTGGATGCGCCTTTACTACTCTAAACCACATGGCAACTGGATATTAACTGTTGAGGCTAACTATAGATTTAGAGTCGGCCGCTCATTCAAACCCGAAGAACGCGGATATTAAGAGAGCTGACTCAATCTCATACCCCACGACGCCCTCAACATTCTTCTCCTTGGGCTTAATTGACACCTCTTAGTCATGGCTTCTTGGCCAGGTAGAGCCATAGAGGCTCGAGTTCAAAACCACCTGTTTGTAGCAGCAAGGCCAATATCACTGTCTTGAGGAGACTGATGCAATGTTCTCTCATATCGTCTCTCGCCGTGAGATCAAGCTCACCTTGGTAATAAGCGCAGAGAGAGGGGACATTTACGTCCCGAAAATTTGGGACCTGTCCATGTATCGATCCCTCGTCAGCCCGGAATGCGAACATCAATCAATCAACGAGAGCGCGCATGTGAGACAAATTTCCCCATCAATTACCAAATCCAAATTCCAGCAGCAAGGTCAGCCCAAGCTAGGCAGTCAGTCCTTAAGCGTAAACAATTTGGGCGACTAGCGCCGTAGATTGTGAGACCTCTTCGTTGGATCGAGAGTAAATGCGTGCCAGTCGCGTCGTGGGAAGACCGGGATACACCTCTGAGACATTCAGGAACGGGTAAGGTGGGAAAGAGGGGCGGTTGTCTGCAGTGTCTTGTACTCTATTGCATTGCTGAGTTGCAATGCACGGCTTCTAGCGAGCGGATAGCGCGTCTGTAGATTTCTCATGGAAAGAGAGGAAGAAGAAAGACAGATGGAAGGGATGGGAGGCAGTCAAGCTAGTCGAGGTCATCGCGTCCTGGTGATGTCGAAACTCGTGCTCTTTCCATCGCGTTTGAAGCTTCCAACTTGAGAATACTCTTCCTCAGTTCAGCTCAGTTTGTAGATCAAGCACAATACGCATGCGGAAAGATAGGAACTGGTTGGTATGCGAAGACGAACTCGCGCACAGGACTGTATCAGGGTTTTAGAAACGCTCCACGAAACAGCGGTTAATGTTCTCTTGAGAAAAAAAGAGAGAATCGCGACTCCCGCTATCATTATCGATATTCCCATTTACGATGATGGTGACGCAGCGGCGGGCGAGTCCCCGTCGCGGCGAGGCCATCCCGAGTTCGCGCCGACACTTACATTCAATTCTCTCGGTTCAGCTCACAATCTTACTCCTAAGCATCACGGCGCCTGTATTCGGCACGCCAATATCGTATTTCCCCTTTAACTCACAACTCCCGCCCGTGGCGCGCGTCTCGGAACCATTCTCGTTTAGCTTCTCGCCCATAACATTCTCATCCGAGGAAGAAATGAGCTACGCACTGGCCGAGGGCTCACCTTCATGGCTCTCGCTCGACAGCGCGTCGCGAACGCTTTCTGGTACGCCAGACGACGCCACGGTGTCTCCGGGCGAGATACTCACCGGCATTGTAATCACGCTTATAGCGAGCGACGGCACGGGCTCCACGGCCGCGAACGCAACGCTCGTCGTGTCGCGCGGTCCGGCACCCGTTGTGCGAATACCACTTCTCGAGCAAATCGAGAAATTCGGTCCGTACTCAGCACCTGCATCCATATTGCTTCGCCCGGCAAGCGAGTTCGATTTCGAATTTGATCCGAATACTTTTGGTGCTGGTGTCGCGAAGGATGGGGATAACCAAAACAAGGTCCATGATAAGAGAAGCAGGACTTCAGATGAGAAAGAAGCGGCAGATGGAACTATGAGTGGAACAGAGCCACTACAACTGAGCTATTACGCTGTATCAGGTAACAATGCGCCGCTCCCATCCTGGGTTGCGTTCGATCCCAAAAAACTTGCCTTTTCGGGCAAGACACCGCTGTCTGAGCTTCTTGCACAACCGCCTCAAAGATTTGACTTCCAGCTCGTAGCTTCGGATGTTATTGGATTCTCGTCAGCATCTATCCCGTTCTCAATCATGGTGGGCAATCACGAGCTCACTAGCGAGGAGCCCATCGTTACAATAAACGCCACGAGGGGAGAGCATCTTGAGTACACAGACTTATCCAAAATATTGAAGTTGGATGATCAGCCGCTTAAAGCAACGGATGTTTTGTCTATCAGAGCAGAAGGCCTGCCAAAGTGGCTCTCGTTCGATGAGGAATCATGGAAGATTAGCGGAACGCCAGATTTAGGAGCACAACCAAGCAACATCACGATTGCGGTGATCGACAAACTTTCGGATGCTTTAAATGTTACTCTGGTAATAGACTTCTTGGACGAGAAGATCTTCGTGTCCGACCTCCCGAGCCTCAATGTGTCAGCAGGGGAAGATTTCTCGTTTGATATTAACAAGTTCCTCCTCAACCCCAAAGACACGCAATTAACGGCCAAGATAGAGCCCGATGACTCGTGGATTCGATTTGACGATTTGTCTAAAATTCTCTCGGGAACAGTACCCAAGCCTTTCGATGCGAAGCTTGCTGACGAGATTCGAATTAATCTCACCGCAACTCACAAGCGTACGAAAGAGAGTGAGACAAGAGACATGAATATCCACGTGAATAGACCGGTTGGTAATACAGACAAAGCTCCTCCCGCGAAGGACCCTCCCAAGCGAGACGATTCGCATCGGGATTTATACTGGCTCCTTATAATTCCGGCCATGCTCATCGCGGTTGCTATTATTCTGTCGATCTTCATGGTGCGGAAAAGACGGCATCAACCGAAAAAGCTCGACTTCTCCGAGGTATCGGGGCCTGTCCCGGGTACTTTCGTGGCAAACGGGTATATGGATCCCTCGTTAGATGAGATACGGAAAATGGTGGATATGGGGCCAGAGGGGCCATATGTGCGAGCTTACATACCAGCAACCGCTGCCAATCCTCGAACACCTCAGGCAGCAGCAAAGCCAAAAATAGAAGTAGAACATGTTACTCCGCTTTCTAAGGCGAGGCAGCCCGGGGCGAACAAGCTTGCACACCAAGGTAGTCGGATTAGAGATTCCTGGCTGGGCGGTCAACATTCTCGGCCGTCCCCCACGGGCACAGATGAAGTTAGTCTATTATCCAACAGAAGCGGTGGGCGAGAAGATCACGGTAACGAAACCTTATTTGTAAAGAAACGAAGGCCGGGAGAAAAGGTGCAGGAGAAGAAGATTGGTCTCGAGGTCCCGGAAACTGCCGAACCGTTCAGTATACAGCCGACTCCTGATCTTGCTTATGCGGTAACGAGACGGTATGAGTACATTTCCGATGAAGAGACACGGCCTAGTATCGGTTCTTCAGCACAACGACAATTGGGTCACCAGGATAACACAAATTTCAGCCTTCATAAACGATTGAGCATGTCGAAGTCAGGGGACACGAAGCGAAACAGTCAACATAGTACATCGACAGATGTGACAACTTGCACAAGTATCCTCACCTCAGGGGTCACCGAGGAAGCAACAACAGCGAGCGCGAACGTCGTGGCGAGACCGACAATAATCCACATACCTGGTAAGCCAGGCGAGGCGCGACAACTGAGTAGAAGAACGGGTGGCTCGACAACATTCTTCGCTGGCGGTTCTATCACCCAGTCTCAACGGAACTTTGGGCGGGAAAAGGACGCGATGTCCTTCTCAGCATATTCCCCTACCAAGGACCTTCGATCTTCCACCGCTTTCAAAGGAGAAGTAACTCAAGACGGCGATATGACATGGGATAACCTAGCAAGTACTCCACTGGGTATTGCCTACAGCGACAATCATCCAACTAGACACGTCCGGGATCAACAATGGAATACTGGCGTCACAAACGAGGAATTGATGTCTCCGGATCGTTGGCCCAGGCCGGGCGTAACTCCCCCAAAGCCAGTAGACACAACTGGCGCATTCTGGAGCCAAAAGAAGCCATATCAGCTTCCGCCTTTTCAACTGCCGGCCAAGGTTGATCAGCCAGAGACACCCATAGGCAAAGGGAAGAACAGAATGAGCCCTATGCGCAGACTGAGCAGGCTCCGCGGTTCTATATCATCGCTTACGCAAACACCATCGACACATACGCGGAGCAAACGATCTTCTCGCGAGGAGCGCCAGCGTTTGAGTCGCCTCCGAGAGCAAAAGGCGCTGGATGGATTCCGAGCCATGATGTCCCATACACCGTCACCTCACAACGAACGTCCTCCGACAAGGGGTAGACCATTGCCGGAGACGCCATCAAGGCCTAGCAGACCGCCAACCACTGATCAGCCGAACAAACCAAAAGGTCTCAAGAGCGTGGCCTCGAAACGAAGCGTTAAGACTTTGCGTAGTAACAAAAGTGTGCGGACCGTGCGGGCGGATGATGATGACGACGATTGGGAAGACATACCGCCACCTGAGTCGGTAATATTTGGATGGGAAGGGGATGGAAGAGATGAGAGCGATGGAAGTTTTCCTGTTTATATCTGAGATGCACGATGATGG